GTCTCTGTCTGTCTTTGTCTCTGTCTTTGTCTCTCTTTTCCTTCCATCCCTCGCCCTCTTCCTCTCTCCCCCCTCTCTCCTCTTCCTCTCTCTCCCTGTCTCTGTCTGTCTTTGTCTCTGTCTCTGTCTCTCTCTCTCCCTCTCTTCTCCCTCCCTCCCCCTCCCCCCCTCTCTCCCTGTCTCTCTGTCTGTCTCTCCCACCCTCTCCCTCTCCTCTTCTTTTCCTCTTCCTCTTCCTCTCTCTCCATCTCTCCTCTTCCTCTCTCTCTCCAGGTCTGTCTGTCTGTCTGTCTTTGTCTTTGTCTTTGCCTCTGTCTCTGTCTCTCTCTGTCTCTTTTCCAGGACTACCTCTTGCAGTCCACAACCCAAGTGGAAAGCACTATGAACTGAGGATGGGAAGGCTGAGAGAGGGAGGGAGGGAGGGAGGGAGGGAAGGGGGGTGCGGAAGACCCTTTGTAATGTATTCAAGGAAACTTTCAGTCTGGCTGCTGCATTTTCTTCCTCCCAGACGCTCCTTGTCCAGGGTGAATTTGTTCCACATGTGGGAAAAATTAAACCTGGGCAGGCATCCAAGAAACAGGGAGTCTGCCCCCTCTTTCTCAAGTATGATGTAAATAGGGAGCGGGGCGTTCCTCTCCTTGACAAGGGGGTGTCTGTCTGGCTAATAGGAGGTGTTGGGTAAATGCACAGGGAAAACCAGGCGCTCCTCCCCTCCTAATTGGTTTTGTTAGAAATGGAAGGAAAACTTGATGTATCTTAAGCAGTTATGGAGAGACCCACTCATCCATCTCATTAAAATTAAAATATACATTCTATTCTGAAGGAACTCCACTTCTGTTACTCATGGGAATGTTTCTTCCTTCATTAGAAAAACCTTACATGGCTTTTCTTAAAAAAATAAATAGATAACACAGAGACCACCACACAGCATCCAACTGGGGACCAGAAATTTAAAATCCCCTGTATTCATAATGTCAACTTTGTCCTTGATAAAGGTCCATGGTGTATCCTGATGAACTTTCCATTGAAAGCTCATCTCAAATCATCTGAACTATCCTGTAGCCCATTGCTATTAGCAAATATATAGATATTTGCCAGTTAAGTCAAGCTAGATGCTTTTACAACCCTCTCTAAGCGGTTTTACAGAGTCAGCCTCTTGCCCCCAACAATCTGGATCCTCATTTTACCCACCTCAGAAGGATGAAAGACTGAGTCCACCTTGAGCCCGGTCAGGATCGAACTCCTGGCAGTGGGCAGAGTTTGCAAGTAATACTGCATTCACACCGAATGGAATTGCTTTTTCCTTCCTTGCTTCTGATGTCCAGTTTGAAACAGCCATGTTCACGTGGAAGCCACCCCAGGACTCTATCACAGCCTACCTCCTGATTTACGAATCTGCTGATGGCAAAATCAAGAAAAGGAAGGGTTTAGATCCAGAATTGGTCCTCTCTTGCACACAGAACAGGGGTGAAATCCTCCCGGTTCGGCCCAGTTCAGCTGAACCGGTAGGGAAAATTGTCCCTGGTTCTGCGAACTGTAGTAAAAAAAAAAAAAAAGCTTCCTTGGATCACGCAGCTCAGCTGTGATGACGGACGGACGGACAGACAGATCAATAGCAATAGCACTTAGACCTATATAACACTTCACAGCGCTTTTACTGCCTACTATAAGCGGTTTACAAAGTCAGCTTATTGCCCCCAACAATCTGGATCCTCATTTTACCCACCTCGGAAGGATGGAAGGCTGAGTCCACCTTGAGCCCGGTCAGGATCGAACTCCTGGCAGTGGGCAGAGTTCGCAGGTAATACTGCATTCACACCGAATGGAATTGCTTTTTCCTTCCTGTCCCCTCAATTCTTACTCACAACCTTTTTAAAATATGACTCGGTAATGCATCCTTTCCCTTACATTCCTTGGCTGGAGAGGCTCATATCTTAAGAGTGCTTCTCTGAATCCCTTCCAGCTTTGCCAATTGACAAAGCCCGAAATATGGGCTAAAAATTTTGAAAAATAAAATTTTGGACGCTGAGTAAGACCCAAAACGGTCAGGCCCCAGGGACCTGACTTCTGCTGCTGAAGTAGCTCAGTTTTGATCCATGCGTTGGCCAAAAGGTTATTTTTGCATCATCGGATTTCTTAATTGGCTCGATATGGTTCCACGGTTGTTAATTGGCAGGGCTTGTGAGATTTCAGCTTGGTTTAGTTGCTTTCAACAGTTGCTTTTCCTTCTTGGTTTTGAAGAAGAAGAAGAAGGAGTCAGAGGGAAGATTGCTAAGAGTATGCACTATACTAGCATTAAAGCACTTAGACTGTATACTGCTTCACAGTGCTTTATATCCCTCTCTAAGCGGTGTACAGAGTCAGCATATTGTCCCCAACAATCTGGGACCTCTCTCTCCTTTCTTTCCTTTCCTTTCCTCCCCTTCTTCCTTCCCTTCCCTTCCTTTCCCCTCCCTTCCTCCTTTTCTTTCCTTCCCTTCCCTTCTTCCTTTCCTTTCCTCCCATTCTTCCTTACCTTCTCTTCCTTTCCCCTACCTTCCTTCTTTCCTTTCCTTTCCCTTCCCTTCTTCTTTTTCTATCCTTTCCTTTCCCCTCCCTTCTTCCTTTCCTTTCCCTTCCTTTCCCTTCTCTTCCCTTCCCTTCCCCTTCTCTCCCCTTCCCTTTCCTTCCCTTTCCCTTCCCTTCTCCTCCCTTCCCTTCTCCTTCTCTTCCCTTCCCTTCTTCCTTTCCTTTCCCTTCCCTTCCTCTTTTCCTTTCCTTTCCCTTCCCTTCTTCCTTCCCTTTCCTCCTCTTCTTCCTTCCCTTCCTTTCCCCTCCCTTCTTCCTTTCCTTTCCCTTCCTTTCCCTTCTCTTCCCTTCCCCTTCCCCCTTCCCTTCCCTTCCCTTTCCCCCCCTTTCCCTTCCCTCCTTTTCCCTTCTCCTTCTCTCTCCTTCCCTTCCCTTCCCTTTCCCTTCCCTCCCCTTCCCCTTCTTTTCCCTCCCTTTCCTTCCCTTTCCCTTCCCTTCCCTTCTTCCTTTTCTTTCCGTCCCTTCCTTTCCTTTTCCTTCCCTTTTCCTTCCCTTCCCTCCCTTTCCCTTCTTCCTTTTCTTCCCTTCCGTTCCTTTCCTTTCCCTTCTTCTTCTTTTCCCCCCCTTTCTTTTCCAAGAAGTCCATCTGAAACTAAGTTTACCCCTGATGTGTCTTGGCCCTCTTTCTCTCATTTTCCGGGATAGGAGGGAAATCAGTCCTTTCCGTCTCTCCACCAAATGGCTGCCTTTCCATCTCTCCTTCAAACGAGAAGGTAAGATCTTGATGTCACAAGTCCTGACAGAAGTAGGTCAGTCAGCCATCAAACTGTGAGGCCTGAGGGAAGCATTCCAACATGAAACCATTTCGGAAACATCTCCACGGCCTCCTGATAGCTGGGGAATTCAGTTCTCCTTCAAATTTTAAATACGTTCGGGGCAAGAGCAGGAGATTGTGAGCAGGGATGGGGATTATTTAGTCAGGGGGGGGGGAAATCCTCCTCAGGGCAAATTCATTCAGGTCTTTTGAAGACCTATAAGTGCACAAGGGGGATATTTCATGCAATAGCGACCTTTAAAAAAATAATTTCGGGTGCCAGATGGTTCCTTGGGGAGAAATAGACTAATTCATAATCATTCTTCTCAACTCAATGTTGGGCAGTACAATGCCATTTCCTTGTTGAACACTTCTTTTTAAAAGTTTTTTTTTTAGTCCCATACACACATCCTCTTAGTTATGATTCTGATCACATTTTAACACTTTTGATCATTAAATTTTCCATATAAAAAATTAAAATATATGATCGGGATTGCTTTGCTTACCATCCCATACACCTATCTGGTTTTATTTTTCTTTCCTTTCCTTTTTTCCCTCCCTCCTTTCTCTACTTTCTTCTCCTCTCCTTTCTTTCCTTCTTCCCCTTCCTCTCCCCTACTCCTCTCTACCTCTTCCCCTTCATGCTCTTTCACCTCCTCTTCCTATCCGTCCAAATCTTCCTGTCCTTTCCTCTTTCTGCTTTCCCTCTCTCCACTTCCTCTCTTCCTTTCCTCTTCTATTGTTGTGGTTACCTATTTTCCTCTTCCATCTGGTGTATTTTTGGGGTGGTATTCCAGCAAACCCGGTTCTAACTTTATCTTTTGCCATTTTATATTTTTTCAATCTGTTGGAAAAATATAAAATATTAGTACCTTAGTACCCTTCTAGTTCCTGGTTGAACACTTCTAAATGAATACCAAAATGTGTTAATTATTCTCTTGAGTTGCAATTAAGTGAAGGGGAAATTCAGTGCCTGGGCACTTTGCCCAAAGACCCCTCACTTAAGTTTTTTTTTTTTTTTTTACGGGAAACCAGAATGTAGAATGAGGGTGGATTTTCATGAGCATCAGAAATGCAGATCAAGGTTCAGGAATGAATCCACCAGGCCAAGGGACACATAGAAGCCAGGAAGCAGGAGAAAAATGATGGTGCTAGCAATAGCAATAGCAAAAGCAATAGCAATAGCAGTTAGACTTATATACCGCTTCANTCTTTTCAGGTGGGGAGGGGGAGTAGAACTCCTTAGCATCAGAGCGTATTAATTACTGTATAAGAAATACTAATGATCGGATGGTCATTTCAAAAAGTCCTTTCTTAGCGAGCACCTAGAAGATACAAGGAACATACGTGCCAAATTTCAAGTTATTAGGCTTTACAGTTCTAGAGATTTTGTGATGAGTGAGTCGCATTTGGCTTTTATATACAGTATATATAGATTTCCATGTCTGGGGGTGTCAGTGAAGAAACAGCTGATAAGTTGAAGAATTTGGGGACTCCTGATATAAAGGAAAACTTACTCCAGGTGAAATTTTGTGGATTTTCTTTCAAAGAAATCTTGTTCCACTCCGCAACCCTTTTCCAATTCTTTTTTCTTTTCTTTTCAATGATGGGATTGTTCTGTATTCGGGTATGTTAAATGTATGTAATCTTTGCCTTGTCTTGTTTTTTTTCTTCCAAGAACTGGATGCCCCCGCCCAGATTGAAGCAAAGGATGTTACCGACACGACCGCCCTCATAACATGGTTCAGACCCTTAGCTGAGATTGACGGACTTGAGCTGACTTATGGGCCCAAAAATACCCCAGGGGACCGAACGTCCATTGATCTCTCCGAAGACGAAAGCCAGTATTCCATTGGAAATCTGAAGCCACACATGGAATATGAAGTGACCCTCGTGTCTCGACGTGGACTTATGGCGAGTGACCCCATCACTGAAACCTTTGTCACAGGTATGAAATGTGGCTTGTTGGTTTTTTGCTTTGCTTTTGAGTAAGTTTCTTTACTTTATTGTCATTGTACATATGTACACAGTTTACACATACAACGAAATTCACATAACACCAAGAGACCAGGCCGAACGCACATGACAATCCCCAAACACCCCACCCACCCACCAAAAAATTCCCCGCCCCTAAACCACCCAAGCATCCACACAACAGACCAAGTAACGCTGTCCAACAGTTCACTGATGGTGGCCCTTTTAGTTCATTGTTGAGTGCAATGATAGCTCTGGGATAAAAGCTATTCAGAAGACGTGTGGTCCAAGTTTTAATGGTTCTGTATCTTCTGCCAGAAGGCAACAGTCTAAAAAGATGGTAATCAGGATGGGAAGAGTCTCTGAGAATGTTGTGCAACTTTCTCGAACATCGAGATGGGAAGATATCATCCAGGGCTGGTAGCTGGAGCCCGGTGATATTCTGGGCAGTTTTAATGATTCTCTGGAGAGCTTTTTTGTCTGCTGCAGAGCTGCTCCCAAACCATGCAAGAATGCCGTATGTCGGGACACTTTCAGTAGTGATTCTCCTGTGTTCATTAGCTTTCAGACTTTGAAGAACGACATTGGTGATTTATGAAGATGACTATTAAAAATCTGGAAACCTGACACATTGAGTCCAAAAGGTGCTTTTTTTCAAGAGGCAACTGGACTTTCTGGTTTTTTTCTTTGACGACGTTTCACTTCTTATCCAAGAAGCTTCTTCAGCTCAGAGCTCAGAGCTGAAGAAGGTCTTGGATGAGAGAAGCAAAACGTCTTCTCTCATCCAACATTAGAAGTTACCTTTGGTCTGGACATTTCCCCACAATAAATAAATACCTGGGCAACGCTGGGTTCTGAACTAGTTGAACTATAAGAAGCATAATTAGACTTGCAAGATTCTGTTGTCCTAGCCAGCTTCAATAAAAGTAGTCTTAGCTTTCCAGTGGAGTTTGTTTCATGGTTTGGGGCTGATATCCGATGTGAACAGAGGAAGTTCAATTTCTTTCTCTCTGTCTTCCCAGATCTGGATGCTCCCCAAAACCTGAGACGCATTTCTCAGACGGACCGCACAATCACCCTGGAGTGGAAAAACAGCCAAGCCATGCCAGATGTCTACAGGATCAAATACGCCCCACTCTCAGGCGGAGATCACGCTGAGGTCACAGTGCCCAGAAGCAACCAGGCCACCTCCAAAGTTACCCTCTCTGGTAGGACTTTCAGGAAGTCCCTGAAGCTGTTGCTCAACAGATGTCAACCTAAACCCATGCATGATTTTGAGGGCAGGCAACTGAGGGTTGTTCCTTTGATCACACGTTGGAATGTTCCATGAGCAACCTGTCGATACAATGAGATCAAAAGAATGGAATGGAGTGGAGTGGAGTGCAGTGGAGTGCAGTGGAATGGAATGGAATGGAATGGAATAAGGAATAGAATAGAATGGAGTGGAGTGGAATGGAATGGAATAAGGTATAGAATAGAATGGAGTGGAGTGGAGTGAAATGGAATGGAATAAAGAATAGAATAGAATGGAGTGGAGTGGAGTGGAATGGAATGGAATGGAATAAGGAATAGAATAGAATGGAGTGGAGTGGAGTGGAGTGGAACGGAACGGAATGGAATAAGGAATAGAATAGAATGGAGTGGAGTGGATGGAGTGGAATGGAATGGAATGGAATAGAATAGAATAAGGATTAGATTAGAATAGAATAGAATAGAATAGAATAGAGTGGAGTGGAATAAGGAATGGAATGGAATAAGGAATAGAATGGAGTGTAGTGTAGTGGAATGGAATAGAATAGAATAGAGTAGAGTAGAATAGAATAAGTAATAGAATAGAATGGAATGTGGTGGAGTGGAGTGGAGTGGAGTGGAGTGGAATGGAATGAAATAGAATAGAATAGAATAGAATAGAATAGAATAGAATAGAATAGAATAGAATAGAATAGAATAAGGAATAGAATAGAATAGAATGGAATAGAATAAGGAATGGAATGGAATAAGGAATAGAATGGAATGGAATGGAGTAAGGAATAGAATAAAATAGAATAGAATAGAATTATTTATTGGCCAAGTGTGACTGGACATACAAGGAATTTGTCTTTGGTGCAAATGCTCTCAGTGTACATAAAGAAAAATAAAATAGAATATATTCATCAAGAATTATAAGATACAACACTTAGTGATAGTCAAGGTTACTAATAAGCTATCGAATTCTACTAGGAAACAAATAAAAACAATATAAATCAGAAGATACAAGCAACATGGTTATAGTCATTAGTGGGGAGAGATAGGTGCTAGGAAGGAAGAGAAGGGCAACAGTCAATGAAGTCTTAGTAAATTATTTGACAGTGTTGTGGGGATTAGTTGTTTAGCAGAGTGATGATTCGCTCCGACAATCACCAAACCGATTGTTAAACCAGCAGTATCCCACTCCTGCTTTGAGGGGCGGGCAGGAGAGAAACTGCTTATTAGTAGCAATATTAATAATTATCCATTCTTTTAAGGCCTGAGGCCGGGAACAGAATATGGCATTGGCGTAACATCGGTGAAAGAGGACAAAGAGAGTTTTCCGTCCACCATCAACGCTGGAACCGGTAAGAACGATTCGTTCATTATGTGAAGAAAGGAGGAAAGGAAAGTCCTGTGAAAGGTCTGGAGGCTTAGGACAATGTATTGAAGCTAGTTTAGCGAGCTAAAATAGACTTTGCCTGGATTGTAACCAGCTTTAGGCACCAAAAGGGATATTGGACTGTGATAAGGGGTCAAAAAGTGGCCAAAAGGATGGGTTTCAGTGATGTCATTAAGCAGGGCACTGATGATGTTACCTAGTTGGGTAATGAAAGAAAAATCAAGCTCAGAGTGCAGCAAGGACCCTCAGTCCTTCTCCTCCTCCTCCTCCTCCTCCTCCTCCTCCTCATCCTCATCCCCATTCTCATCCTCATCCTCCTCCTCCTCTCCGTGAACCCTTTTCCCTTCTAGTGGTGATATTATCTAGTTGGGTCATGAAAACTCAGCAAGAGTCTTCTTCCTCTTCTCCACACACCCTGTTTCCTTCTAGCACTGATGATACTACTTAGTTGGCTCATGAAACGTCTGCAAGTAACCCACCAAGTTCAGGGAGCACCAAGGACCCACAGTACTTTCCTCCTCTTCCTCCTCTTCGTCTTCCTCTTCCTCCTCCTTCCTGCAATCCCCATTATCTTCTAACATTGATGATATTATCTAGCTAGCTCATGAAACATCTGCAAGAAAACTACCAAGCTCAGAGAGCACCAAGGGCCCACAGTCCTTCCCTCCTCCTCTTCTTCATCTTCCTCCTCCTCCTCCTCCTCCTCATCTTCCTCTTCCTCCCCCTCCCTGCAATCCCCATTCCTTTCAAGCATTGATGATATTATCTAGTTGGGTCATGAAACATCTGCAAGAAAACCACCAAGCTCAGAGAGCACCAAGGGCCCACAGTCCTTCTCTCCTCCTCTTCTTCATCTTCCTTCTCCTCCTCCTTATCATCATCTTCCTCTTCCTCTTCCTCCCCCTCCCTGCAATCCCCATTCCTTTCTAGCATTGATGATGTTACCTAGTTGGGTCATGAAACATCTGCAAGAAAACCACCAAGCTCAGAGAGCACCAAGGGCCCACAGTCCTTCCCTCCCCCTCTTCTTCATCTTCCTCCTCCTCCTCCTCCTCCTCCTCCTCATCTTCCTCTTCCTCCCCCTCCCTGCAATCCCCATTCCTTTCTAGCATTGATGATGTTACCTAGTTGGGTCATGAAACATCTGCAAGAAAACCACCAAGCTCAGAGAGCACCAAGGACTCACAGTCCTTCTCTCCTCCTCCTCTTCCTCCTCCTCTTCCTCTTTCACTTCCTCCTCCTCTTCTCAATTCCTGCTCCCTTCTAGCACTGATGATGTTACCTAGTTGGGCCATGAAACATCGGCAAGAAAACCACCAAGCTCAGAGAGCACCAAGGACTCACAGTCCTTCTCTCCTCCTCCTCTTCCTCCTCCTCTTCCTCTTTCACTTCCTCCTCCTCTTCTCAATTCCTGCTCCCTTCTAGCACTGATGATGTTACCTAGTTGGGCCATGAAACATCGGCAAGAAAACCACCAAGTTCTGAGAACACCTCACAGTTCAGCCCTGAGCTGCAAATATTCTTTTCTTTTGATAGCACGGCTTTCTTTTCCTTAGGCAGCCCAGAGATAAATTCTCAAAACCTGGACAAGAGACCCCTAAGCTTTAACTTCTCA